GAGAGTCCGTGCGTAGCTACTATTAATGCTAAAGTCCGGGTAGTTTTAGACTCAAAGCATGAATTACTTGTGTAAATTGTATTCTTTGTTTAGATACAAATATTAAATGATGAAAATATTATATACTTGATTTTCTGTTTAAATTAATTAATAGTTAAGAGAAATTATTTTTCCTCCTGAATTTATCTTATAATAAATATACTCTCATTCTGAAGGTACATAAGAAATATCCTCCTTTATTGTGGAGCGTGCCGAACGCCTCGGCAGGATAGATGCATCTATGGATTGTGCCGCACGTTCCTCGACAGTGTACATGGAACTCTGAATCGGGCCGAACGATCTCGGCAGAAATCATGCTTAATAATAATAATTACATGATACTTTGATAGTTTATTGTAGCTTGTGAAGCTAACTGATAAATTGAAAATCTCTGAAATTTAAAGAATTATGTTCTCTGCTTGTTAGGAAATTATTGTTATTCGTGTAAATGAGGCTAATTGATAAATTAAAAATTTTATTAGAATTGAAGGAATTTAATTAATATATTGAGAATTGTTGCATTTGAGGAAATTTAATTATTTCTGCTGATTAAATAAAATTATTGTTGATTTTGTAAATCATGTTGTGTTAAATAAATTCTGTTTTATTCTATTTAATATTGTTGACCCTTAGTGAGTGTCAAAGTCGACTATCTCGTCTCTTTCACTTCGAGATTAGGCTTGATACTTACTGGGTACACGTTGTTTACGTACTCATACTATACTTGCTGTATTTTTTGTGCAGGATCTGAGGCAAGTACTAGTGGGGGACCTATCGTCTTACACCCACATTATCCAGGGGCATAGTGGTGAGCTGCCTTTCTGAGCCGTTCTACAGCTACCAGTATCTCTCATTGTATTTTTCATTCTGTCTATTTTTATTTCAGACAATATTTGAGGTTTTGTATAATCTACTAGATGCTCATACACTTGTGACACCAGGTCTTGGCACAAACATTGGTTGAATTAAGAGTTGCTTATTTTCTTGATTATTTTAAATTACTGATTGGCTTGCCTAGATGTAGTGTTGGGCGCCATCACGACCTATAGGTAAAATTGAGTCGTGACACTTCTATGCCTCTATCATATGTCAGAGTTCGATAAACATATGCATTATGTTGTTTCACATCAATTATTTCCTAGATTGTCGTTTTCATTTTGAGTAGTTGTTGAATTGTTGCCGATAATATATTGAATGGGTGAAGAGAAATCAATAACCACGTGGATCTAATGAAAATGCAATGAACTGTACCTTGAAGATATTTATTGAGAATAAATAAATATTATCATTGACAAACTTAAATAGAGTCTAATTCCAGTGATAATCAGTATAAAGAGAACCTTCAACTATTCTTGACTTGTATAAAACTAAAAGTGCTATAATGTTTTTTAAAAAATAACAAGAGAAATTCACTCATTTTTTGTGTGTGGTTCTATTGCCTAATTGAAAACAAAAAAAACTCCCAAGGTCTCTTCGAGACATCCGATTTAAAGAAGAAGGAAAAACTCATAAGAACATGAAAGATTGATTTTCATCAATAGCCATGAGATAAAGAAAAAAGAAAGAGAGAGCTTATACAACAAAGATTTTTCAATTTATATCAAGTAAGCAAGCTAGCTCAATTGCGGGGACCCAAGGGTCTTCTCCATCGACTTTAATTCTACATCTTGGAACACCTCATAGGGATTGATTCTCATGCTCAGATGATCTGCTATGCCCCTTCTTTTGCACTAGAAATTAAGTGCAAAATGGTGAATAAACCACCAAATTGAATATCAAAAAATTTATATTCTACATCTAAGAAACTCATAATGGTGAATAAAGTTCCTGAAACGTATTCCTCTAAGTGTTTATCTCAAACTATCAAATATGTTTCATGGAGGATAAATTATGACTGAGAAACAGTGATAGAAAAAAGTTCATCAAGGCTTGGTGAAAGTTTTATATATTTACATTCTCTGAATTAGAATCAAAGTAAATGGAGATGTATTCACCAATCCTATAAATTGCACCATTCGAAACAGTTTTCTGTCATAACCTATAAAAAGGGATACAGAGGAACAACAATAGAATCTCCAGGACACATTCCCTGTTAAACAGTCCAACCAAAGAGAATCCAACTTTCAATGGCAATAAAATTGCAGCAACAGAGAAGGGGGTCAATTCATTATTTGGTCCTTTACAAAATGGCATTTTGCTTTGAGGATATTTTAAATTGTCATTTTGGTTTATGATCCTTGTGGGACCTACAGTCCATCCAAGTCAGCATTTGTGATTGTGTTAGAAAATTGGTGCAAATTGAAGGACCTCATTTCAATTAAAATATTATTAAACCATATGCCTAGGAAAAAGAAGCCAACGATGAAAAAGAAGCTGGCGAATTTCCTCCATCAGTGATCAGTCCAAGCTTCCCAACACTTATATTGCGTGAAAAAATATATGCATTGAGTTCATAGATATCTGGGTAAGTAATACATTACTTCAACTTTTGTTTTTTTTGATTATTTTATGAAATTTTTTGAGAAGGAGGACTCAAGGAAGAAGATGAACCAGAAAAGAGATTTGATTGTTGAAGCAAGATATTTGTATATTAACACTTAGGAGATAATAGTACAAATTACAAGAGATTTTTGTTTCGAAGTAAAAGGTGAACCAGAAAAGAGATTTGATAGTGTAAGCAAGAGATTTATATAGTAAAACGTAGGAGATCTTAGTACAAAATGAAGGAGATACTTATATAGTAAAACGTAGGTGATCTTAATATAAAATACATGAGGTTGTTTTGCTGAAATATAGGAGATATTTATCTTATCATAGGAGATTTGATATATAAAGCATAATAGATCTGTATATTAAACGTAGAAGGTTGCTATTATAAAATGCAAGAGAGTAGTATTAATTGACTTTTATTTTTGTTTACGGGTGATCAATATATGTAGATATCAATGGGTGATTTGACTATTTGCATTGAGTTTGAGTCTAAGGAGAAGAAAATTGTTAGGGTAATTCATTGTCGCCAAGTAGTACGTTATAATAATTTGGTAGAAGTAATATGTCAGCGATCCAAGATAACATGTAATCAGAAAAATATTACTATGAGTTACAAGCCAATGGTTTTGGATAAAACTTGGTAAGAGACTTCGTATGCTCCAATAGAGGATGATTTTGATTTAAAGTCCTATTTGACAATTGTTGATGAACGAGGTGCTAGGCCAACATTGAATATTTGTTTACATGAGGATGCAGATGAAATTGAAAAAACAAGATAATATGACCAGGTGGTACATTGAGCGTATAGGCAAAGCTCAAAGTAACATTCATTGCTTTACCCCAAAAGCTGAAGGATTAGTTCAGGAACGTTATGTTACCTCTTGTTTGCTAGCTCCTACTCGTTTAAACGAACATGAGTTTCATGTTCGTGGTGGTGATATAGATTGTTTGGTTAATTTGGAGTGCAAGTCACGTACTTGTAGGGTCTTTCAGGTGGATAAACTCCCATGTGAGCACACGATAGCAGTTTTGAAACTAACTCCAGGCCAAGACATATGTGAGGAGATATATAAACTGTGTGATCCTAAATACAAGAATGAGAGATGGAAGAAAGCTTGGTATAGAACAATTTATCTTGTTCCTCATCCAAAAACATGGACGACGCCATCAGAAGAAAAGAGAACGGTTCATCATCCTTTAGTTAAATTGAAAAAAGGTCCCAAGAAAGTGAATCGTATACCTTCGGTTGGCGAGAATCCAAAGAGGAAGAAGCAAAAAAGAAGTTGTTCCATATGCAAGGAAACAGATCACAACAAAGGGAAGTGTCCCAAAACAGTAGTTGATTAATTTGCATCAATTTCCTAGATATTTATAAGGATTCATAAATCCTAAGTCTTATTTAATCAACTGTTTCAGGGATTTCATCTTCTATTCTATAGAGTTGAACCCCTGTAGTTTACTAAATTTATCACTTATGTTATAAGGATTCGATCTCCTATGTTATAAGTCTTTTATCTCTTACAGCAGACATAAATCTCTTATGACCATGAGTAGATCTCTCATGTTATATTTAGTGATCACCATTTATTATGTTTATTATTTTTTTTAATTAAAACACAATTTATCTTAATGAAACGTCAAAATTTAGTTGATAGTAAGTGCGATCATGCTTGTTAAGAAATTATTCATAATAACTCCAAGTTACAATGAAAGAAAGATAATGTGTATATTATGGTCTTAATCTCTTATGAATAACTAATGATCTCTTACGACCGTAATATAGATCTCTTACGACCATGAGTAGATCTCTCAAGTTATATTTAGTGCTCACCATTTATTATGTTTATTGTTTTTTAATTAAAACGCAATTTATTTTTATGAAACGTCTAAATTTAGCTGATAGTAAGTGAGATCCTGCTTATTCAATAATTATTCATAATAACTCCAAGTTACAACGAAAGAAAGATAATGTGTATATTATGGTCTTAACCTCTTATGAATAACTAATGATCTCTTACGACCATGATATAGATCTCTTGCGACCATGAGTAGATCTCTCAAGTTATATTTAGTGGTCACCCTTTATTACGTTTATTACTTTTTTAATTAAAACGCAATTTATCATTATGGAACGTCTAAATTTAGTTGATAGTAAGTGCGATCATGCGTGTTAAGTAATTATTCATATTAATTCCAAATTACAACGAAAGAAAGATAATGCGTATATTATGGTTTTAATCTCTTATGACCAACTAATGATCTTTTACGACTATGATTTAGATCTCTTGTGACCATGAGTAGATCTCTCAAGTTATATTTAGTGGTCACCCTTTATTATGTTTATTATTTTTTAATTAAAACACAATTTATCTTTATAAAATGTCTAAATTTAGTTGATAGTAAATGTCATGACCCAAAATCTCACCCGTCATGATGGCGCCTATCTCGATACTAGGTAAGCCGACAACATCAATAACCCATAATTCCTTTTAAATGTTGAAAACATAATAATTAAGTTTAGGGGTAAATCCCACAAACATTGGAAATAAACATACTCCCAAAATCCGGTGTCACTAAGTACATGGGAACCTAAAGATTACAAATCTGAAAAATGTGGTCTATAATAATCTGAGACCAAATATAATAAACAAAAGGATAGGGAAGGAGAGACAAGGTCTGCGAAACATGGCAGCTACCTCTGAATCTCCGAAAAATTGACTGTGTGAAAGAATCAACACCCACTATATCCGGGATCATCTGGATCTGCACACAAAGTGCAGGTTGTATTATGAGTACATCCAACTCAGTAAGCAACAATAATAAATAAAGAACTAAAAGTAGTGACGAACTTCTCAGCTAAGTCCAAATACAGTACTTTTCAATATAAAAGAGTAGGCATGCTCTCAAGTTCAACATTTAAGATTTCACTGAAATTTCATATCAAGTTTGACCGAAACAGAAAATAATATTTTTTCAATATTTCCAAAAATAGTGATATATGATAGCTGAAATGCAGCAAATAATGAAATCAATGCATCCTCTCAGAGTAGCAGTTACTCAGTCCTCCCATTCACTCTAACTTCACAGTCACTCTTTCCTCACAGTCGCTCATTCCTCTCAGTCACTCATCACTCGGCACTCGCACTCAGTAGGTACCTGCGCTCACTGGGGGTGTGTACAAATTCCGGAGGGGCTCCTTCAGCCCAAGCGCTATATCAAGCCAATCATGACATAAATCAATAAAAATATGTTGCGGCGTGCAGCCTGATCCATAAATATCCTCACAATTAGGCTCTCTGCCTCACTCAGTCATTAACCTCTCCAATATTAACCTCTCCAATCTCTCGGGCTCTCAAAAATCATGATAATCAGCCCAAAATTGATAATATGATATTTTAATAAATAGCAACAGAGATTGAGATATGATATGTAATGAGTAAAGATGACTGAGTGTGAAATTTCAATTTGAACATATAATTCAACCACAGAAATGACCCCAGTGGGTACCAATAATAACATCATATGTCCAAGCATAATTTTTAATACGAGTCTCAGCTCAATTTTCTCTAACTCCTCGTGAATTGGCCTCCAAATTCCTCGAATCTAGCCACAAATAATTCGATTCAGTCAATAAAATTTTTTGGAATTAATTCCATAAGAAAATGCTAATTTTTTAACAAAATCCGAAATTTAACTCAAAAATCACCCGTGAGGACCACGTCTCGGAACCCAACAAAAGTTATAAAATACGAAAGCCCATTCAACCACGAGTCTAACCATACCAATTTTATCAAAATCTGACCTCAACTCGACCCTCAAATCTTCAAACTAAACCAAGAGGGTTTTCTAAATTTTTCCAACTTAATTCACCCATTAAATATAAAAAATAACCATGAATTCGGGTAAATTAACCAATATTGAGTTAAGAACACTTACCCCATTGTTTTTCTTGAAAATCTCCCAAAACTTGCCTCTTCCCGAGTTCCAATCCGTCAAAAATGGAAAATGGGATGAAGAACTTAAACTTTCTGTCCAAACCTCTCTTCATCGCGAACGCGACAGGTCCTTCGCGAACAACACAAAGTCGTGCTGCCCAACATTGCTCTTCGCGAACGCGAAACACTGCTCGCGAACACAATGCTTTACCGAGCTTTTCTTCGCAAATGCGAGCTCCCCTTCGTGAACGCGAATGCAAAAACACATGCATACTATTTATTTTTCTTCGCGAACGCGATACCCAACCGCAAATGCGATGCACAACCCAGCTCCTCTTCGTGAACGCGAGACCCCCTCACGAACGCGAAAGGAAAATCTTGCCTGCCTCAAATTCCCCTTCGCGGACACGAGGGCCCACCCGCGAACGCGAAGAAGGAAACCAGAAAAACACACCAGTAGTCTTCAGCCAACATGCCAAGTCCAAAAATAATCCGTTAACCTCCCGAAACTCACCCGTGCCCCCCAGGTCCTCAACCAAACATACCATCAAGTCTCAAAACATCATACGAACTTAGTTGATCCCTCAAATCACCTCAAATAATGCTAAAACCATGAATCATACCCCAATTCAAGCCTAATGAACTTTGAAATTTCAAATCTCTACATACAACGCCTAAACCTATCAAATCACGTCCGATTGATCTCAAATTTTGTACACAAGTCATAAATGACATAACGGAGGTATTCCAATTTTCAGAATCGGATTCCGACCCCGATATAAAAAAGTCAATCCCCCGATCAAACTTTCCAAAAATTCAACTTTCGCCATTTCAAGCCTAATTCCACTACGGACCTCCAAATAGTTTTTCGGACACGCCCCTAAGTCCAAAATCACCATATGGAGCTATGAGAATCATCAGAATTCAATTTCGAGGTCGTTTACATATAAGTCAATATCCGGTCAACTTTACCAACTTAAGTTTTTAATTAAGAGACTAGGTGTCTCATTTCACTCAAAAATACTTCCGAACCCGAACCAACTAACTCGGTAAGTCATAAAACAACTGTAAAGCATGAATTGAGCAGTAAATGGGGGAACGGGGTTATAATACTCAAAATGACTGAATGTGTCGTTTCATTCTCCCCCTCTTAAACAAACGTTTGTCCTCTAACGGGTTTAGAATCATACTTGGAGTCTCAAATAGGTGTCGATATTTGCTCCGCATCTCCTGCTCAATCTCCCAAGTAGCTTCTCTGACTAGCTGGCCTCTCCACTGTACCTTCACTGATGTTATATTCTTTGACCTCAGCTTTCGAGCCTGCCGGTCTAAAATAGCCACCGGCTCCACATCATAAGTCAAATTACCGTCCAACTGCACTCTACTGAAATCCAGTTTATGATACGGATCCTCGACATATTTTTCGGAGCATGGATACATGGAATATTTGATGAACACCTGATAGACTAGGTGGCAAGGCAAGTTCATAAGCCACATCTCCAATTTTCTTAAGTATCTCAAAAGACCCAATAAACCAAGGGCTCAACTTGCGCTTCTTTCCGAATTACCCAATAGCCTAGACTCACCCGGCTCAAACAAACCCACCGGAGACCGATACTGTCTCCCATATAAAGCCTCATACGGAGTCATCTGAATGCTCGATTGGTAGCTGTTATTGTAAGTAAACTCTGCCAGTGGTAGAAATTTATCCCAAGAACCTCCAAAATTAATGACACAAGCGCGTAGCATATCCTCCAATATCTGAATAGTGCGCTCGGATTGTCCATCCGTCTGAGGGTAAAATGATGAACTCAACTAAACCTGTGTGCCCAATTCTCGCTACACTGCTCTCCAAAACTGTGATGTTGCGTGCCCCGATCTGATATGATGGACACTGGCACATTGTGTAGGTGAACAATCTCGCGGATATAAATCTCAGCCAACCATTTCGAAGAATAATTAGTACCAACTGGAATAAAATGTGCAGATTTGGACAATCGATCCACAATCACCCAAACAACATCAAACTTCCTCAACGTCCGTGGAAGCCCAACTACGAAATCCATGGTAATACGCTCTCATTTCCACTCCGAAATTTCAAGTCTCTGAAGCAATCCTCCCAGTCTCTGATGCTTGTATTTCACCTGTTGACAATTTAAACATCGAGCTACAAACCCAACTATATCTTTCTTCATTCGCCTCCACCAATAATGCTGCCTCAAATCCTGATACATCTTCGCGGCACCTAGATGAATGGAGTACTGCGAACTGTGAGCTTCTTGGAGAATCAACTCATGCAAACCATCTACATTAGGCACACATAGCCTGCCCTGCATCCGTAATATACCGTCATCCCCAATAGTGACTTCCTTGGCATCACCGTACTGAATCGTGTCTTTAAGGACAAGCAGA